AGCGGGTGGAGGGGGGAAGTGAGTCTGTGTCTTCTTGGTGCTTGGGGGGGGGGGGTCAACAGTGGGAGGGCTTCTACTGTCCTGGCTCCACTGCTGGACCTCCTGAGGGCACCTGGTATTTCTGGCCACTGTGTGACAGAGTGTTGGACTGCATGGGCCTTTGACCTGATCCAACATTGGTGTCTCTTATGTTCTTATGTATTGCATTTATATCAGCCCAAGACAAATCATTTCAGTTAATCTGTGGGGAAACTGTCTCACAAGCCCTGTTTCTGCCCACATGGGAGCCTGGAAGTTTATATGGAAGCCTGGAAGTTTATTGATTGATTGATCGATTGATTGGATTTATAAATCACCCAATCCCTGTATACATAGGGCTCTGAGCGATGTACAACAAAGCTAAAAACAATGTTAAAATCAACAAAAACTGCTGTAGGTTATTCTATGTAAGCAAGGGACTGTCAAGGCAAGATCCTGGCTAGAGGCCTGTCTCCAGTTCAGGTAGTCATGGGGGTGCTTCCAGTGTTCCCTCTAAGCTGAGTCAGTGTGAGCTAGCTCACAGTTCTTTAGCCTCCGGCTCACACATTTTTGTCTCAGCTCAGCTCAGGATGGGGCTCCAGAGCAAGCTGATTTCTGCAGTTGCCAAATGGCTCGCTCACAACTTGAACGCCAGTAGCTCACAAAGTAGAATTTTTGCTCACAAGATCCCACAGCTTCAAGGGAACATTGAAGTGTAGTCAAGTCGTAGCCGACTTGTGGCGACCCATCCAAATACTGACCAGGGCCGACCCTGCTTAGCTTCCAAGATCTGACGAGATTAGTCCCGCCTTGGGACACCCATGTCAGGTCAGTTCAGGTAGTAGGTGGTGTGAAAGACTCCTGCCACCAAACCACAGAGCCACCTCCAATCACAGTAGAAAGGACTGACCTAGGTAGGCCAAAGGTCTGACTCTGTGTAAGTTGGCTTCACATGGAAATGTGTTCTGTGGTGTTTGTCCCAGAAGCCTTTGGTCAGCCGCTGATCCCTCGGGCCCAAGCACACCCGTTGGCGGGGTCTCCTTTCCCTTGCCTTGCCGATTGACTCATTTTGCTCCCTTTCAGCCTTCTCCGAAGATGACGTCAACCTGTGGATCGCAGGCCTGAACTGGTTGGTGACGGACACGCAGCGAGCACCGACGCCACTCCAAATTGAAAGGTGCGGGAAAGCCGGGGAAGACAGATTTCTGCAGCATAAGCGAGGGGTGGAGAGCGCGGAATTGGCTGCTGTTCATCCCACGCAAGACCCAGCCAGCCTTTGCTCATGTGAACGAAATGCCCCCCAGTGCCTTCAACGTCCCGGGATCCCTCCCGCCCCCGCCGGCCTCAGGCTCTGCTTCTCTCTCGGCCTGTTTGGTGATGACAACTATGATTCTGTGCCCTGGTTTCCTTCCCCCTTTCCAGCTCTCCCGGAGTTCTGCTCCTCTCGCCGGTGTAAGTCAGTCCCTTCCTGGCATCCGAGGCAGGGGCGGAAAGATTGCCCAATTTGGCTAACTCTCCTGGGAATAAGCATCTCAGGAATGTGGTTGTTTTTCCCGTTCCCTCCTTGGTAACATCTTTCACAGGGAGGCCAAACACAAATGCTGTGTTGCAACCTCGAGATTTCAGGACATGGAGCCAAATTAATTTTTTCAAAGAAAGTCTCTGTCACGGAAATGAGGGGTGCGGGAACCTTTTCATGCACTCTGATTCCCACTGTTCTATTTGGGGAGGGAGAGAAACTGGCTTTCCAATTGCATCGAGAGAGAGAGGTTCTAAATCGAGACACAATTCATTCCATTGCACACTCTTAAACAGGGGTCATTTCGTAAAAAAAGAGGTGCAGGAGCTCATTAGCATAACTTATTTGCCTATGCCAC